ATGTGTACTTAATATAAATGTAAAAATGCTCCCTGTATCTAGTTGTTGTAGTGAATTCTATCAAACACCTATTGTCTCTCTTCATGGAATCTTTAAAAAGGATGATGTAAAAAAAAAAAAAAAAAACAAGTAATTTACTGAGCCATCAGAACCGAACTGAACCGCGGTTAAAAACCGAGGTGCTTATCGAATCATGAGCTGTTTACCTTGATTAACTTGATAATGGGCACTTCTCACATTTCAGACATATGCTGCATCAAAAAAAAAAAACAACAGAATCAGACTCTAACTAACACTTGTTGCTGTTTTGCATCACTTAAAGAAGAGTTTGGGAAAAATGAGTCATTGGACGAATAATTTGAGAGTCGTTGGGAAAATCAGATAAAAATAAATGCATATTATTAGACAATCACACGTTTTTTGACCATGCACCTATGTCAACCTGTTACTGGAGACTCCCAAAACTAAAGAATATATATATTTTTTTACATTTTATGATCTGATGATATCTAGGATTTTCCCCATCTCTCCATTTTTTATCAGACCCTTTCCCTCAGACTATATCTCAAAATCCCAAAATCAATAATTTATTCTCAGCCTTAATACGAAATGTGTTCCTTGCCAGAAGTGAAACACTGCTGACTTATTCATGACAAGAAGCTCCTCCTTTCCTCTGTACAGATAGAAAAGATGAGGAAGGGGAGACGGGGAGGACAAATGATGAGATGGTGAAGAAAAGAAAATCAATAGCAGGATTCTAGAAGCTAGGTGATCAACAGCAGACATCTGCTGCCCCCGAGACAAACTGTCCCAGACACACACACCAACAGCTTCTCATTATTGCTTAGAAAATAAAGCCCATTTCCTGGACTGAATCATCAATCGTCTACATTTCTATCATATGCTTCTGCTTAGAGCATGGAATTGTCTAAAATCCACATCCATCGATTCTTTCACTGGAATTGTGTTTTTTCCTAAAAAACAACCCCATACCATAACCCCTTCTCCACCAAACATTGCACTATGCAGTCACACAAGTAATGTTCTCTCAGAAACCAACAATTCAAAACGTGCCATTTGTTACTTCCAGGCAGTGTTGTTTTCGGTGATGATGATGAAAATATTTAGTTGACAAATCTTTTCCCGTAACGAGATGCTTTTTCTGAAACTTGACGAGAAGCGCACAGGTTTTCATCAACGAAAATGATAGTGGACGAAAATGTTAATGAGTGGACGGTTACACATTTAAAATTTAAAAAGACATTTAAAACATTTAAAAAGACATTTCTGCTTTTCATGATTTGTGGCTGTAATCAGTCATTCAAAATACAAAGTATCCAAATAAAGTGCAACTGACGGTCTGGAGTTATGTGCGAAACAATTCTCAAATTAAATCGTATTTATACAATCTAAACAAAGACCTTTGAAAGAATATCAGGGTGGTGAATATCTATTATGTTAACACTATTTTTGCATAAGTTAATACTTAGTATATCATAAATATATGTGTCTGTATGTTTTTGATGAAAAGCCTATTGACAATGTCACAATGTGAAATGGAGCATTAATTCATGAAATAAAATTAAACACACCACTTTTAATATATAAATCGTTAAATGAACTTATTAAAAGACCATTTTTAATCAACTAAATATGAATCTATATCGACTAAAACATGACCAAAACTATTAAATTTTTCAATCACTAAAATGTGACTAAAACTAAAATCATTTTCGTCAAAAAGACAAAGACCAAGACTTAGATGGCTGCCAAAAACAGCACTGCTTCCAAGGCTTGGTGTTCTACAAAAAATGTGATGGATGAGTTGCAGGTCTATGCCATAGACACCGGGAAGCTCCTTCCAAAAAAAAAAAAGCTTTTGTTGCTTTTTCCTGAGCTTAAACTGAAGGTATCAAGTTATCAACCAGTGCTTCATTTGTCCATGAGGAGGTCCTGGAGCACCATGTGTGGGTGCTGTATCAAATTGCGAGAAAATGTTCATTTTTCACCACTTTGGACAATGTCATGGTCTTAACCATTTTTGGAACATTTTCAAGGTTTAGGGCTTTAAAATGGTGCATTTCAAGTGTAAACATTTTTTTGTCAATTATATTCCCTTATTTTAAGGATGCACTTGAGCCTGATGTTCATTTTCTGGTTGGATACATTAATTTGGAGGCCTTTTTAGTAACAAAATGTTGACTCCGAAGGACGTTGCAGGCTTTTGGATGGACGTTGAGCTTAACATTGTATGTTCATTCCCTATACATGATTCCATGCTCATTATTCCTCGAAATCGGACTATGGAATTTTTTTACTAGTGAGGAAACTGTCGGCACAATCTTTTTTCTATGCATTATTCTCTGTCTGTGCTATGTGTTCATTGTACTCGTATGTCGGCGCCAGCAATGCCATTCTCCTGCAAGAACGAACAACAAAGACCTTTCTTTTAATGTCAAGTGTATATGTTTTAATCCAGAGTACTGTGTGTTTGATTCAAAAAGTTAGCTCAGGGCATTAAAAACAACTACTAACGAGATCATGTTGCGTTTTGAGAAAAATGGCTGATGGTTTTGAGGAATTCAAAACAAATCTTAGTCATACTGATGCTTTAACACATGAGCGACACTTCACACTCTCATTTCCGAGCTAGTTCCAGCTTGCCCTCTGCTGCACTCCCAGCAGAGCGCCATTAGGACAGCTAGCAGCATCCCTGATGTTACCATGGCAACGATGGAGACTGGGCTTCTCTTTGCCAGAGAGTGTGTTTACTGTTCATGCTCCGATCTTTCTGAGCTGCATTATGTTGCAGTGTGGAGTATGTGTTTGCCAGATAAGAAAACTAGGTTGCAAATCCCATTATGTGGGGAAATGGACAGGCCGATATATTTCATCAGCTACAATGAGAGAAAATATATTATGTTAAACATCTAATTGTCCAGTCTCCAATCTCCCCAAACCTTCAATAACCTGTTGCAATTTACTTCTGTTACATTCAGGGATTTGCAATCAGGACCTGCCCTATGTTTGTAATCATCCATGAGGTGGAGAAGGGGAGGAAGGTGGGAAAGCTGACTGGACTCAATCGATGACAGATGGGGAGGATCAGCTTATAAGGGCGTGAGGAAATAGAATAATTGATGGGTGGGCACATCCTAATTACATATCCTGATACATGTTAATTAAACCATCCACACTGTACTAACCTGTATCCATAATGATTTGTTCAAAACATCATTTTAATAACAAAACTAAGTGAAGGCATGCAAAAAAACGATGAAAGGCCAGACATGCCCTTGCCTATCCAAACGTCACCACTATGCAATGCATCTTCCCCATCTGGCAATATTTAAAGACCCTATGAGATCATTTGAATGCTTTAAAAACAATTTGTTTTTTAAACAGATTTGTAAACATCTCAGTAAATTAATTATTTATGAATTGTTTGTATGAAACACACCCTTTACGCGACACAACCTGCGATGATTGGTTCGAACCCTCTGCTCATTGGATACTGCGCGTCATGTGAATCTAACAACAAATAAAAAGGTAGGGAGAGTGCAGCGGAAGAGTTGTCACGCACCAATATATAAACAAAACCGCAGAGAAGAAGTACCGCAAGTGTAACAGCACCTGTGTCTGAGGAGGGCTTAGTTGCTATTTACGCTGGGATTTATTAATTTTTATATTATCTCAACACTCAACAGCTTATCGGTACAAAAAAAAATTATACTCAGAGTTAGGGGTGTAACGATAGAGTGTTTGATAACATATATCCACTAGGGGGCAGTGTTAGAGTAAAAAAAGATAAATTAATGCAAACCTTAAGAGATGGAGAGAGCTAATTTTATAATCTTTCTTCTTTAAAATGTGAGTTAAGGATAATTGTCTCCTAGTAAATGTTAAATAAAGGAAAAGAAGTTTCAGAAGTGACTAGAATCACAATCATACTATTCTATTTGTGACAATTTTGAATTGCGATATATTGTGCCAATATATACTGTTATTACAGAATTGTATTTAGACAATTTCAGGTTTGTTGTGAATTATTGTGTTGTAAAAAACTTGAATGTTTTCATCTGTAAACAGCGCATTGCTTTGTTCTTGTCTCTCAGAAATTCATACATCCATTATGTCAATCATGATATAATGGGGTTAATTTTTATGCCTTTATGCACACTATCTTTCATTTTAAGCACAAATATTTAAATCCAGTAGTGGAACATCCTTTCCCATAGATGTTGATAAACTGCCTCAACATTTAAAGGCATCAAAGTGCTAATGAAGCCAAACATAACAGACCCCAACCTTAAATTGAGACAAAAGAGCCCAGACAAAACAGTGCCCCTTCTCAAAGAATGGCATGTGAAAACTTTGGAATTTCCACAGAAATGTGCCCAAATTGCACGCTGTTGTTGTGGCTGCGTCAAGTAGGTCATTTTCACTTGAGCCTGTCATTTGAATGTGTGCATGTGCACATCGATGTCTATTCATCAGCATGAGCACAAGCTGCTGCCGTGAGTTGTCTCGTCACATCTCTGCCCAGTCAAGCGAAAGGCGTTCAGAGACTGCGGCTCATTTGCAGTAGTAAAATCTTTAAATACGTAGAGTGTACAGTATGAATGAGACTGCGAGTGGAAACATCCATCTGTTCATGCTTAGACATACATGATTACTCTTAGGTCAAGGGCTTTGCTGGAGATCTCAAAGCGTGAACGACAGGGGAACATCTACGCTAGGACTCTGCATTCCCAGAATGTACTTTGGAGAAGTTACAGGGAATGTTTAGGGAACCCAACAATCACTCTTGATATATTAAAGCATTACGGTCTAGCAGAGGATAATGAAGGTACATTCTGCTATTGTCACACTGTGCTCTATATAAATAAGGAACATGCACAAACATTTTTAAATAATTCCTACTGAAAATGAGCCATTTGAACTGGGTTGAACTGGTCCATGAAGTGAAATTTTCCAGTAACAAAAATAACAACGGAACATTCTAGTGGCTCAGTCAGTAGACCACAGTGCTCGCAACGCAAAGGTTGTGGGTTCAAACCCCAAACAAGAACTAACTGAGGATGCTTACACACGTGACTTGTTTGATTTGCTTTCTCTTTTAGTACAGTTTGTTTGGGAGATTTAGATCTAGATCGGACTTAAAACGCTAAAGGAGTCTCAATACATGAAAAGGTGACAAGAGTCAAAATCAAGCAAATCAATGCATATTTTTAGCACGTTCATTCTAACCAATTGAAAAGCAGTCAAGGAAACACTTACGATTACTTATGTGACCAATGAGTGGCCCATATGATGTCACATGGCTGCATTTTCAACTAGTACGGACCAGAGCGATCAGTGTGGTGTGAACGAAAATTACACACATATCCAAATTTTCGGTCTGAAGTTTCATGCAACAACCGTATCCACATTATTATTCTGTAACAAATAAGTACAGATAAATTATTGAAGTCATTGAAATGGCTGTGTGTTCAAACAATTAAACATTTCATCTGGATGAACTTTTCTAAACTTTCAAAGATACTTAAAAGAAAACACAAACATTACTCCATGTAACTGTGTTTAGTTTTAAATTTTTAATAATAAATCATGATCATTTTCATGTTTTTTCATTAGCCACCAAGCAAACATGGAAAACTTCGAAAGAACCGTAATTTTCTAAAACAATAAGACTGTAAGAATCAACAAAACAAAACCCCCCAATTCACCTAGAGATGAGGCAACATTATATAATCCTAATAGTTATCTAAGTTGTGAAGTATAAAAAGATATTGCATTACCTGCGTACATAAATTCAGGATGTCACAGTTACCATGGCAACAAGAAATTCCCATGAATTCTTAAGAGACTATACTGCAAGAGGCACCTAAAATGGCTAAGCGGTCATCATTTTCTGCAAGAGATAGCTCTCGAAATCATTAATGCTCTTGAGAAATGCACCTTTGGAAATTACGAAAGTATTTGTTTTTGCTGACCTAATGATCATTCCAGGTCTGGACGCATCACGGTTCCTGGATCATATTCGTCACACACATGGAAAAATCCCCCAGGGATGGAAAAGAGTGACTATAATAAATATTCCTCCTGAAAAGATGATCTCAAAACCTGATTCATTTCATGCACAAAAGGATCTTTGTTTTGGAGAAGAAAAATGTGCTGAGGGGTGTAGTTATTTGTCCTGGTTTGTGCTGGTTTGTGACAAGGTCTCCGTGAATACTGTTAAGTGAAGAAGCACAGAACAAGTTCATTTGGAAATTTGATGGTTTTGATAGATAAACTATTCTTAAGCCTTTTAACATTTGCTAAATCACATTGGATGGTTTTCATCTGGTGACATCCTGTCTGTACATGTGCAATGTAAGCTGGAGAGGGACACCAGCAGAATCTCTCGACTCTATCGAGGACGAGGCGGGTATTAAATGAATGGAAGAATGGAATGGATTCGAAGATAATTCATATTGTATTGTGAGTCATAGCTGTGAATTAATTTGATTCATTGGATCTTTCGCCAGAATCACATCATTGAAATCTGGAGAATACTTCTCAGATCCTTCGAGTTCATGAAAGATTTATTCTGTGTGGATTTACAAGATGATTTAGCAGCGTTCTATTATTATAAATCATTCTTTCTCGTGATTCCTGGTGTTCTTCAGTTAATTACTTTTTATAATTTATAGTATTATGATAGTAGTTTGCTATTGTAGAGTCTGGTGGTCCATACGCTTATCCAGTAGTAGCTGCTGGTGACGGAGTTTGTGCATCGTAATCTCTTGCGAGTAAACGTGTTAACAAAGCCAGGATATCTCCTTTGTTCTCACTCTCTGATGAAAGAAATTACCGATCGATGACATTTGATTCTAGATACGTCTGCTCGATTCTTTTCTTTCTTGTGCATGTGCTGTTTGAACAGTTTGTGAATGTTTACTATGTTGTTTCATGTTTCAGGAGAAGGGAATAGAGTACTCTCTAGTCGCTGAGGATATTTACAGATTTAGACTTTGTCTACATTTAAGTAAAGTATATTTTGGATCATTCAAATCAATTCACCTTTGTTAAAATGGGTGAAAGTTGTGTCATGTTTATTCTGTAGCTGCGTATAAAAATGTTCATATGTAACTGTTATGCAGATATTTTAATATTTAAAGATTGATTTAAAATGTGTTTGTCCACAAAGAGTTATGACACTACATTTTTCAAGGTAATTCAAATTACCAGTTTCATTTAATAGGCCCCAAACCGGTGCCATCTAATAGTGAAAAGAAGGGATAACCCTTGGAATCACAAGACCTGTGATATGGCTTGTGTTTATCAAAATTCTGCCATTAAAAAGCACAATGGAACAAAAAACTTTTTAATTGTTTTGACCTTGTCTGCTTTTTGTGGGTATTTATAAAATGTATTTATGAAATTTTATTTAAACTGCTTGATTTTTTTTAAGGAGAAAAAGGACAAAATTGAATATTTGAGCGGAATTGTATTTTTTAGTGCAATTTCAGGATTGCTGTGGACTTATTGTGTAATGGGAATTGAAAATATCAAGCAATATAAAAAGTTAATACTGTCAGCCACTCCTAAAAGCAATTTTTATTTATAAATGATCCAAAAGAACTTACATTTCAAGATAAAAACACTTGCTTTCCCTGAGGTTAGAACCCACAATGTTTTCCCACAGACTCCAGGAAAGTGATGGTTATATCTATGCATTTATTTTGTTGAAAGAACCACAAAAAGTTTGATAGACCTGAATTTCCTGAAAGAAAGGTTAATGAAGATAATAATATTTGATATCTGCAAAAAACGTGTTTAAGATGAACACCGTAAAAGTTTTCCCTCTACAGCTTTTAGCTTAGCCAAGACAAAGTTTGCTCAGGATATCTTGATATCTAAAGGGAAAACTCTCAAAGCTCTTGGATTAAAATACCTCAGATGATATGCGCCTGCTTCTGGAACATGTCAAAGAAATAAATTGGAATTGAGTTAATTAATTTAATTGCTGGTGGACCTCAATAAAACACAGCCCTTTCAAAAGTTCAGCTACATGACTCAAGATGGTCTGTTCTCAAATTTAGAGGCAGAAGCACTAGGATGGAAGAGAATTCACTGGACTCTGGTACAAAGATGCTTGCGATATTCAGACATGGGGAGGGGGAGTTGAGTTGCCCCTTGACCCGTAGCTAGAGCGGCATGACATCATTCCATTGGCTTGTTTAGTCACCGTGCTGTAAGGCTAGAGGGGCTGAGCAGGAGTGGTGAAGACCCAAAAGAATTTCTTCAGTCTGAGAATGTGATGTGAGCATGTGGCAGTGTTTCAGCGTTGGGAGGAGGATGAGAAACTGGGAGAATAACCATATAAGGGCATGGGTACACCAAAGACATGGAATGATATACGCTTGCTCTAATGGAAGAAATTCTATTGGTTACCACCTGTTGAGCAAGCTGCTTTCATTGCAAGTGGTAGAAAAGTTGTTTTTAGGGAATCTAAAAGGAAAAGCAGTTTAGGGACAATTTTCCACAATGAAAGTAGAGATGAAATAAGATCTCAATTGCTGCAGGAGCTTGTAAAGCAAGAATGATTGGAGGGACATCAGTCATACTGATCATCCTGTGACGACATTAAACGCATACTGAATGCTTGTGCAATCTGGACTATTTTTCATAGTTTAAAAATGTGCAAAATCACTCCCTGGTGTTAGATGAACATCATAAACTCGCGTTTTTAAACAAAGTGGTGACTCAAAATTATGTGTGTCTATAATTGCTATGCTAAAACCTCTCTCAGCCCTGGAGGCCAATTCAAAGGGTTTGCACTTAGTGACACTTGGTGAGTTTAAATTAATTTAAATTAATTTAATGTGGAGATTTCGAACCTAGTCATTACCAAAATTGCACTTTATGATGAGCCTAGTTCTCTACCCAATAACTTTTGAGACCCTTTGACACACAACGGGTTGAGTTCTACCTGAATTTATATATATAAATATATACATATACACAGTGGTACCCTGAGATGGTGACGTTCGTATGTCGAACAATTCATATCTCGAATCAAGTTTTACATGTAAAACGCCTAATCCGTGCAACGGCTCTCAGAAACAACAGTATAGGTTGATAAAAAAATGGAAAACCAGAGAAAAATCAAGTAACGTTTTTTTAATTCTTAAATCTACTCATTGTTAATGTAATAAATGACAATAAAACAGAATAAAACACAAGCAAAACACGTAATATGAACACAAATGTGAAACCTTACCTAGCGAGAGAAGCAATGTGTAGGAGGAGGTGGAACGGATGGCAGAAAACATTACGGCACCACGTTTGAAAGTTAACTTTCTCAAGATATTTCACTGACACCAACACGGTTTCAAAAACAAACGCAGACAGATGGAGAGAGCTCTTCTGAGAATGTGTCACAGGGTTTCTCTAACTTGCGCTACAGAAAAGCACTTTCCACGTTATAAACGTTATTCTTTTACGACACCTCGACTCGTACATTTGTTATAGCACATTATACGGACGCCACCCTGGAACGGATTAATTTCGTATCTCGGGGTACCACTGTACATGAAAAACAGCCTTCAGAACACAGAGGGTTAAGTAATCAATATTTCTGAGACAGATGTCAGTCGCTTGATGCCAGGTCATATCTTGAGTCCTGGTTGATGTTCGGCATGACATCCTCTATAGCCAATCACAACTGACAAGCGCACATTGTCATTCAAATGAGGCTGCTCATCTACATAAAAGAGTGTCACCATGATTCATTTAAACATGCTCCTGCCATGTGGAAGAAAAACACAAAGTCGTGATTAAAGAGCAAGTTCTGTCTTGTTTTTGTCCACAGTCCCCATCTCTAATAAATCCTCAAAACGTCATCAAGGAGATTCGGGGAAATTAATAAAAAAAATAACATTTTTTTAAGTGTTTAAAGGTGCTGTGCTGTTCAAAGTAGCTGAACTTGTCATGTTCAGCCCATTAAATAAATTAAGTCAAGTAAATGTAATTAGCTCATAATTATTGGTTCTTTGTGTCAGATGAATTCAAGGTCGTCTCA